CAGTGCGGCCTTTAGCTCTCCTTATAGATATTAATATATCCCAATTACCCACTGATGGCTGTCTGACACTGCACTGTAACTGCCCCTTGGAGCAGAAAAAGAGATTGCTTAACTTGTCATTAACCTTTGTCCCCCAGTTAAGTGCAACTCCATGCTGACTGACTCACACCTACCCCAGGCATAGAAAGCCAAGATTCCACCACTACCTCCACTACACTCCTGTTGTTACAGACTTTTAAGCAGAGTTTTGCAGAGTGTGAACATGTGCTAGTTTCAACTCATTCCAGTAAACTTATTGAGTCTTCTGGGGGCCTCTGTTATGGGGGTTCGGAACATTCTTGTATGCAGAGTTATGAAGAGCTCTGTATTCCAATTTTTAACATTCCAGCACCACCTCACCTACAGAATAAATACTGTTTGTTCTGTACATAACTTGTTTTAAGAAATAAACTTTAGAACAAGGAACTGTGTTGATCTGATGAAAGTTCATGTACAAAGTTAGACTGAGAAATACAGAGAAAAATGCCCTCCACTTTGTTCTACAATCAGTTTTCCACCTTGTTTCTTCATTGCATTTCACTTAGTTTACAATATGCAATCATTCAAAGAACAGAAGGATGTACTATAGTGTTGTGTAAAATTCAACAGGCTAGTCTTTAACACACTAGTTGTTTGATTTATTGGAAATTGCTACCTGCCATAAAATATTATGAATAAATGTGAATGTAAGCTAACAGTATGCATTCATCAGTACTTTAAACAGTTATAAAGCTCTCATTCTAAACAGAACTACATTTTAAAAATGTGTTCATTAGATATGGCTGACACTGGCTGGGTTAACAATTACTGTGCATCCATAATTGCCCTCGAGAAGGGGTGGTGAGCTGTATTCTTGAAGTCTTCTTGGGGTATTGAGACACCCACAGTGCAGTTAAGAAGGAAGTTCCTTTTCAAGCTGTTGCTGACTAGAGTTTGTATTGGCTGAAGTAGCATATTCCTCCTTGGTTACCAGTTGGTGAAGGAACCCATTGGGTGGAGAGAAGCATATCAAGAGAACAGATCGTAAGTGGTCGAATGGTTCTAGCACAGGGGCGTAGCATATTGGCCCATCATGGTCTCGTTAGTTATCTGCAACAGCACCTGAGCTGGTCCCATTCTCATCCTAACCTCATAGCTCAGCAATTCATTTTCTTCAGATGCTCATCCAATTGCCTTTGAAAGTCACAAGTGTATCTGCCTCCACCACATTCTCAGGCTGTGCATTTCAAATCCTAACCTTTGGTATTTTGCTATTCTACTTATATTAGTGAGTCTGATTGTTGACCCCTTTGCCAATGATTTCAGTTTCTCTCTATCTACTCTAAATGTCTCCTTCCATTTTTTTCTTTTTTATGAAGGAGAAGCTAGACTCGTTCTCTTATCTGTTGATGTTTCTGAGTTTTGGCTGGAATTGTTCATGTAAATCCTTGCTGGAACCTCTCTAAAGTCTTCACATCCTAAATATGGTTCCCCAAATTTGACACAATATTCCAGTTGCTTTCCAAAGTCGTGATAATTTTGTTGTTCTTGTACTTTACACTCTTGTCCCTTTCTGCTATTTACACTATTATAATCCCATTTTTATTAGCATGATTAAAGTCCTCTATTATCACTACTCTGTAGTCCTTGCAAATCTCTGTAATTTCCTGAAAATGTGCCCCTTTATTTCACTTAGCTACTGAACGGTGGCCTGTCCAATATGCCCAGTAGCATTATGGGGCATCTGTTGTTCATGAATGTTAACCAAATAGCTTCAGTGTTTGACACCCTTAAGACATCATCTTTCCTCAGGACCGTAATATTCTCCTTGATCAATAATGCTGCCTATCTTCCGTTCTTCCCTATCTTACCTTTTCTAAACATCTTGTATTCAGGATTATTTAATGCCTTTAGAGCAAAGAACAGTACAGCACAGGAACAGGCCCTTTGATGCACCAAGACTGTGCTGACACATGATGCCTTTCTAAGCTAAAATCCTTTTGCCTCTATATAGACTGTATCCTTCTATATTCCCTGCCTATTCATGTATCTGTCAAGATGCCTCTTTAATGTTGCTATTGTATCCATCTCCAACACCACCACCGTCAGCTCCTAAACTCCTTCAGGTACATGTTCTATATGTTTAGGGCTACAGCCATGGTGTCGCTGTGGTGACACTCCAGTCCTTTTTAAATCAAATTATGTTACTGATTTTATTCATGATTCCTGTTGAAATATTTCACATTTTCCATGATGACATTAGTGTTGTCTCAGTCAGGAAACTTCCACCTTGAAACTGCTAGTCTTGTGAACCAGTGTGAACAATCTGGGTAGCTGTTAGTTTTGGAAAAATACAATACCATGGTTCATCACTGGCTTGGAACCCCAACCCCTTCAGCTCAATATAAACACTGCATTAAATTGCAGCTTCAGTTAGTCAGGCCTTTCTGTCACTCGCTCACTGTTGCTCCTTTCAGATCTTCTACCTTTCCCAACCTGATCTGTTTGATTTGTTACATTTTTCCCCTTATAAAAAATTAATAGACTTAGGTCAAAATGTTCAATGTTTGTATTTTTTAAGCATTTTTTTAATAATGAGATTCATAGACGTAAGTAACTAAGCCTTGTTTCACTTGACTGTGTCCAGATTTAAAGTGACAACAGTTGAGCTCAATGTGAGCCCATGCTGGATCGATCACAACTGTATCTAATTCTAACCATGTTCATTTTGAAATAGGACGTGCAGAAGGAGGGAATGGAGGAGAATGAGGATGAAGAGAACAAGGGGTCGAAAATCAGCGATTCTGCTGAGAAAGCAGCTGTAAGCCTTTAATAAAGCTCAGATTGTGTGCTGATCGAGGATAGGCAGAAACATAACAATCTTGGGTGTTCCAGACAGTAACTCAGTGACAGATAATGTTACTGAAAGATAATAAAACAGGAATTCACAGACCTGGCGAAAACTTGGAAATTGTTATTCAGGTGAATGGGGCAGAATTCAGGATGGAATCTACCCCAGCACGAAAGCAGGTGCTTCATGTATGAACCTCTTTCTGTGTTGTTATCTCTGGAAGAGTCAGGACTTACAACTGAGGGAAACAGGCAGACCAACACCAGATATTGGCAGGAATGGAATCAAGTGCTTTTTCCATGGCTCCAGTCTTGGGGAAGGTTTGAATTCTGGACCCTGAGGTTATGTGGAAATAAACTACATCTGTCACCTCCATCACTGTTGTGCCAAAACTGTCCTGATGATGGAAATTAGCTGGACACAAAGATGTCAAAAAGCATCAGAGTAAGGCATTCTCTCTGTTCCCACAGACTTCCCCGTGAATTTCTTGTTTGGTGGAAATAAAGAAATGATAGTTTTAAAATATTGTTCGAGAGTATCAAACATGCGATCTTCATTCATGTTGATGATATTCAATTAAACATGGGAGGATATTATTAATCTCATGGTGTGGAAGACTGAATAACTCCTGAATGATAACATCTTGAGATAGCCATAAAGATTTCACTCACTAGAGTGATAAAATGGCATCTCTGTGTAATTGGAGATTGTGTCATAATGTTCTAGTCCCTATCTCAGTGATTTGAGGTATCTCTTAACACTTAAGATGCAGACATGATGCAAAATTGTAACTATGGACTGGATTGTAGACTTGTCTGTTGCCAGGTTGGATGGCGGGAGGGCATATAAAATCCACTGGGGGCTAGGCCCACCATTTATCCACATGCCCATGCCCCCATTGCAACTAAGCTTAGGTGAGGGAGTCATAGAGTTCCTGGTCTATTAAGGACACTTATATCCTGCAGGGAATGGCCCATGCAAGCAGAGAGGGCCAGAAGCTTTAGCTGTGCAGCTTGGTGTCTGGTCCCACCACCTTTTCTCTCACTACTGGCACTACAGAGCTCCTGAGAGAGGGGTGACCTCCAACTGCATAACACTAACTCCAGCATCAGGTTCATGGGTGGATTGTCCCTGACCTTTTAGCTGTGCACAGGGACATAGTGTCCCTTTCAATCCAGCCCCATATGTCAGAGAAAGAGCAGTTTCTATTAGTTATGGTTATTAAACTTTCCAGGAGTTTGAAACAGAACTGCGTGGTGTATAGAAAAAAAAATTAAAGTATATGTCAAAATCAATAAGCAGTTAAGAGCACTGGGAGTTAAATGAAATATAACAGAATTACTGTTTTGTTCCTACCCATTAATGATGGAATAACAAAACTGCATGTTTCAAAACTATCTGTTCCACTTTTGATAGCAGTTCATTGACAATGGGAAGACAATGTCTTTGTGCTGTTGGTGTCACAGAGTGTTTTAACTACTCTCTCACCATATGTACAAACATTATGGCACCATTGCCTTAAAACACACTACAGAACATTTGGCTTGGGTCATCAAATTTGACTTTCATATAACTAAGCCTTAAGAAGAGATTTCAATGAGAGTTATGAACAAAATTAGAAAAGCTGGTAAAGCAAAGCAAAGCTCAAGTTTAACTTTAGAGCCACATCTATAAAGAAGCTGAATCAGTTTTAAAGATAATGACTGTCTCTTCACATTGACATGCCCTGTTTTTCTCACATTCCCTCATGGAAACAGGAAGCCGCAGCTCTCATTGCATTGCGGGATGGAAATCCTCGGGAATTCTTTAAGCAACGAGAACGAGCAATGACAACAAGTTTTGAGACTGTACATTTTTCAGGCCAAAGACCAGGTAGGAATGCCTTTTATTTTTGTTCCCATTCCAATACCTCCCATCCCTTTTCTTCCCCTGCAGCCTCTCATTCTCCATGAAAATTCCTTCCATCTAAAGGGCAGGGCTAATGGTTCTGCCTCTCTTTTTGCCATCAAATCCATCTCATACTTCAGTGTGAATAAACTGGAACAAGCCTTCTCACAGGCTTGAGGAAATGTTCACAATCAAGTCATTAACTGCAAAATGTGACTGTAGCAACCTCATATGAAGCAAAGGGCTGCCAGTAAAGCATTAATCCTCTTCTAACTGAGCTTTTTCAAAATGTACCTGATCATAGCCGACACCAAGTATTCAGTGGGTGGCACAGAGCAACGCCTGATCCAATCAACCTGTTAAATTGGTGGGAGATCACATTAAATTACCAACATGTGGAATAGAATTATTAAATTGATCACGGTGAATGACTTGGGCTGGAACTATTTAGCAGTATGAGTGCTGCTAGACAGAATAGTTGGGAGTGAAACAGATGACTGAATTAGATGTATTTGAAAATACACAGGAGAAAGCCCGCTCATAAACAAATGATATGTTTGGGAAGGACCCAGGCGTGGGCTAGAATAGCCTTCAGTTATCTCAAATAAAGTAGCCAGGAGTGGGATGAAGTTCTATTCGATTATGCCAAGTGACATAGTTGAAGTGGGTTGAGCAGTGCCTAGTTGTGTGCATAACCACTGATTGAGGTTGAGTCACTGATAAATCTGATACTTGGGAAGAAACTCCACCAATATTTGAGCTGCGCAAAATGTCTTCATATTGAATGTTCCTGGAGACATTCTCCACAAAATGTCACTGTAAATTAGGATATTTCTTCAGTTCAATTAACCAGTTGAATTTTCCAATAAACAGGGCTCCACTGTATATGTAGCTTGTTGCTATAGAGATGTATGGTCTGGAATAGAAACAGAACACTCAGACAGCACTCTCTGCAGATGCTGGCTGTTTCATTCATTACTCCAAATGTTTAGATATCTGGGTTTTCATTATTCATCAAACAGCATCATATTTCTGAGCCTAAGAGCAGTGGAGATACTTGGAGAGAAAAAGATGTCTAGACCATGCAAAGAAATGAGTTACTAAATGCTTCATGATGTCATTAAATCTAACCAAGGTCAAACCTCTCCTGTGCTTTTCTGGGTGGCTGGTGGAGATGGGCTGTGGGGAGGGGTTACATTGATGGTTCTGTTTAATGATCATATCTCCCCAACTAAACATTAGAAAGGAGTTTGATGTTTTAACAATCAACTGGAAAACAATGCTGGTGAGCCAATCAATTCAAATGAGACTGCTCAAATCTTTTTTTAAGGAGGTCTATTTTGGATGGTGGTTGACCACCAATTACTGAAAAGAGATTCCAACATCAACCTTTCTGTTCCTTATAACCTTTCCTGTCATTAGTCCCAGTATCAACTCTGTAGAATTCCCAATATTTCTTCCAGCAAAGTTGGATTCTTCATATTCATCCTAACACCAACCTCCCCCATGCTGCTCCCAACTTTGTGCTATAATACTCGCCTTTCCATTGCTGCTGTCATAAGTGTAGGATTCTCTGCACATTAACAGTTACCTACATACTGCCTTCACCCTCCATATCTGAGCAATTTTGCTACTTTTGATTGGTATGTTCACCAGACAGTTCTTGTGAGGACCAAGTCCATTTTGATGTTAAGGACATGTTATGGACCAGAGAAGATCCCCTCAAAATATATTAAGAAGGTAACCTGGACATTAACTTATTCTTAATTTAAAGGCAAACATAAAGTGCAATTCAATTGGTCAAACTACTCAACATTAAGCAAAACGCAGCTTATATAAACACAATAGTTAAAAAACAACAAAAGAAAGGAGAATTTAGAATAACTTAACTCTATTGGAAAACTTAACAGAATAATAGATACAGTACCTATTACTAATTAACTGTTCCAATACAGTAACATCCCATAAACACACCCCTTGACAAAAAGGCAAATCCAGCAGCCTAGGAAGAGAATTCCCAGCTTTTGGCTGTAATCGAGAGAGGGAAAAAAATGTTCCACTTCTTCAAGCCCACAACAACTGCTGAAAACTAAACCTAAAAACTAAAGAAAAGTCCTAGAAATCTTGGTCTGAGAGCTGGCTACATCCAGGCTGCTTTTATTGTTCCAACTTTTTTAAAATAAAAACCTCGAGGCCTCACAAGCAGTTAACTCAAGTGGTTTTGGTAGACTGCTTGTTACCTCTGACCAACAACCTCTCTTCAAAAAAAAAGGACAAAATAACCTGAAAAGTGACAGCATGGTCACAGACACCACTGTCTTGTTTAGCACAACTGTTGAGTTCAAATGGTAAAGAATCAGGACAGATCAGCAGCTCAAAACCAAGCATCATGAGGCACTGTAGGCCACCAGCAGCAACAGAATTAAATTCCGCCACAATCTGCAACCTCATGGCATGGAACATTCCTCATTCCATTACCATCAAGTCAGGGGATCAACCCGATTTCAATGAGCAGTATAGGAGACCATGCCAGGAGCAGTATCAGGCATACCTGAAAAGGCAGTGCCAACCTGGTGAAGCTACAACACAGGACTACTTGTAAGCTAAACACCAGCACAGAATGATGTTGGTAAATGATCTCACAACTACATCAGATTTTTGCACCCCTTGTGCATGCGGTTGTGAATGGTGGTAGACAATTAAACACCTAACCATAGAGGGGGATATCCTGGATGTTTACATCCATAATGAGTGCACAACACCAAGGAGACTCCAAGGTTGAAGCGTTTGCAACCATCTTCAGCAAACAAAACCCAATCAATTTCAGTCTTCTCCTGAGGTTTTCATCATCACAGAAGCCAGTCTCCAACCAATTCAATTCACTTTGAGATATATCTCTCCTAAGTATTCATCGTACCAAGACGTGCCTGCACACACTAGCCATTACAAAGACTGTGGACTCAAACAGTCAGTTGTGGGATCATTTATCCTGGGACATGTAGGGTCATTTATCTACATCATTGTGCTGCAGGTGTTTAGCTGTAATGCTGAAGGTTTGTCCCAAACTATCTATTTCTCTAGCCAACCTGTTCCAGTACAATTATAACATTGCATCCACCCAACAAAGCTAAATAATTGGCAAGTATAGATATTTTTAATCAACCTGTTCAGCTTTGTTATGACTCACCATTGGAGTAGGTGGGGCCTGAACCTCAGCCAGGGTTAGGGACACCACCACTGCACAACAAGAGCCCCAGAAAACATTACCTGAGTCCTTGGATTACTAATCCAGTGACAAAATCACTGTGTCATCACCTCCCCCAGTTTTAACTTGATGAAGCACGTGCGGAATTACACTACAGTTATTTTTAACCCAGCCGTTCAGAAATGCTATTACACAGCTCTGGAGCAGGTGGGATTTAAACCCAAACCTCCTGTCTCAGAGGTAGAGACACTACCAGTGTACCACACGAGCCCATAAGAACTGAATCCTCATTGTCTGACTGGAAATTAATCCCAGGCCATTGAAATGCCTGGACTTAATCTTAATGACTTGATCACCAGGATTGGTTTGCCCAAGTATGTTATTTTCTAATGAACCTGTTCAGAGATATTATCCACCTCTGGAACAGTAGGGGCTTGAATGTGGGCCTCCTGGCTCAGAAGTAGGAACATTACCAGTATACCACCGAAGCCCCCATGTGCCTAAGTATATCTTCACAAAAAGCAGGAAAAAGCAATCTGACCAATCTCTTTTTTTCTATTTTTCTAATCAACCTGAGTCAGAGGCCTTATCACACATCTCTGAGACTGAGCAGGTGGGACTTGAACCCAGGCCTCCTGGTTCAGGGGCTTTCCAATCTCTTCTCAATCATCAGTATATTGATGGAAGCTGGTGTTGACAATGCTACCAAGTAGCAATTATTCAGCAATAACCTGCTTATTGATGCCCAGTTTGGATTGAACCATGATCACACAGTACAGTCTTGGTATAAAGATGAGAAAAAGTTCCAGCAAGGGATGAAAGTGACTACACATGACAATAAGACAGCATTTGACCAAGTGTGGCATCAAGGATTCAGAATGAAACTTAATGAGAATCAAGGGGGAGATCTCTCCATTACCTGGAGTCATAGCTCACAAAAAGGTTGTTAGAAATGTTATGGTTGTTGGGAGCCAGTCATTTCAGCCCAAGTTATCACTGCAGTGTCAGGGCAGTATCTAAGCCCAGCAGCCTTTGGCAGTTTCATCAATGTCCTTCATTCTATCAAAGGTCAAAAGGCGACGTGCCAATAAGTGCAGAGTGTTCGGACTGTTTGCAGTTCGTCAGATACGGAAACTGGCCAATGCCAGCATTTGACAAGATCTGGACAACATTCTGGTGATATGTGACCAGAAATATGTGCATCACACAAGTGCTGGTAATGACAGCCTCCAACAAGAAAAGGTTAAACCACCTTCCCTTGACTTTCAAAGCAACTCCTCCTCTGGGAACATCCATGGGATACAGTCATTCAGAATCTCACCTGGACGCAACATAGAAATACTGTGGCTCTAAGAGAAGATCAAAGACTGGGAATTGAGTAATGCAGCTCCCCATTCCTCAAATCCTCTATAAGACACAAGGCAGGAATGTGATGGAATACTCTCCACTTGCCTGGATGCAGCTCAACAGCACTCGGGAAGCTGAACAAAATTCGGGTCAACTTAGCCCCATTGATCACCATCCTATCCATCACCTTCAACATCCTTTTGAAACCTATACTGTATGTCAAATTTTAATTATGTTTTCGTTCATGCCACGTGGTCATCACTAGAGAAGCCAGCATTTATTGCCCATAAGATGGTGCTGATCTACCTTATTGAACTGCTGCAGTTCTTGGGATGGAGGTACACCCAGAATGCTGTTAGGAAGAGAGTTTCAGGATTTTGACACAGGAACAGTGAAGACCTGATGATATAGTTCCAAGTCAGGATCATGTGTG